TTTGGAAATGGTACGAGAGTATCGTGGATCTTTCTTTCCTTAAGCTTGGACAGGATCCAATCACACGTCAACCAAGAGGTTAAATATATATTCAGCAGATGCTAAGAAATGCTAAAGCTTCTCCTCCGAGGATGCTTCCTGCATCTTGTCTTTGACAGCCTCAAACATTTTGCTCGTAGTTCCGTCCGCTTGGACCAAGACTGATCCAAAGGTCACCCTTTTTGAAGTGCCATTTATCGTCTTTACAATCAGTATGATGCGCGTCACACGTCGCACCACAACATTCCTTGCCTTGGAACTGGGTAGCGTTGCTGTGTAGCTAACGTATCCCTTACAAACGCACCAGCCCCTTGGCTTAGTGCCAGTTTCTGCGACACTTGACTTGCTGTCAGCTCACTATAAACTATACCAGGCCCATCGAGCTGGTTATTCCTATGGTGAAGTATGACTCACTGTCAACGCACCCTTGACTAAATTGAACACAGCATCAGTTACGATAGCCTCTCGCAAAAGTACATCCTTTATAGTGTCTTGCGCATAGTTAGCGACTGTGCGTGTTCGCCTGTCTATCCATGGTTATTGCTTTAATAACCAAGGCATGACTAGAATGAGGTCATACGGACTCTCCATTCCTAGCACGATGGAATTCTCGTTACACGATTAGTCACCGAAACTGTAAGCGAATTCAACGTGAGCTCTATTTAATTTCACCAGCGTACCTCCTACCAGACGGAATGTCGCTTATCCACGCTTGCCATCTTGGCAAAGCGCCTTATAAATCGTCGGAATCTTTTCATAGCCGCGATATTTAAAAAGTTCTGTGATACACCCCAATCTACGAAAAGTGTAACGGGGCACCCTTTTTTTGGGGTGCCGCGAAACTTCACGTACACTAGTACGTGCAGAGGAAGCTAATCTACTTAATCGAATTGTTTAAGTAAGTTAAAAAGAGAACTGTGTTTAATATAGTTAAGCTATCAATACAACTTTAATCTTTATCTAACTATATTAAAATATGTCTTCGTACGACGACAGCCTGCTCACCACTCATTGCGCGCGCCTAGCAGCGATTGGTGGCAATCTATGGTTGATATGTCTTATATCAACCCATCTTGCAGCAGCGCATGAATATTATCAAAGGAGGATAATATTCCTTCAATATTATCTATCTCGAATAATATTGATAGAATATTGTCATGCTAGACAATATTCTATTTGACACCGCTTGGCGTCAATATCATGTAACGGGCTACCCCGTTGCAAGAAGGTTCATCACCTGGTCATGCCTCGCACTCAAGCTCTGTAAACTATCATATTTGAGGACCTTTTATTGGTATCTCGGGGACTATGCTACCCATTTGCTCAACAACTCTAAATGTTAGGGTAGCTTCAGATTCTGCGTCAGGAGGGCATCCTCCCCCAATGCGGTACCACATTTCCTGACCCAGCCTTCGTCGAAGCGGAATCCGAGCTTCTTAAACTATGGTTCTTCGCACCAACCCTTGGGTTGTGAGGTTCCTTCCTAAATGCTTTCGCGCTAACACTTACTTCTACATAGCAGCGAGATATAATATGACCGAGCTTGCTGCAATTGTAAGAGACAACATCGGTGTTGCCTAGCTCAATTGTAGTGGCCGAAGACCTTTCGGTGACCGGCTTATGTCAAGGCGTAACCAAGTGCTGTTGTAGGGTTTTTCCGCAGCTAAGGCAATCTTAATTGCTTCTTCCATTGTTGTTGGCACCATTTTGAAAAGAGCTCGTCGCGCTGGGCCATGCCGCAGAAAATGTAGGAACGTGGGCACCTTGATGTGTTCCTATATCGAACCTACACCAACAGACGCCGACATCGACCAATTTTTCTGCACGTAGTCTGTAGGAATCGCTGCGCTTGTCGCGATCTAAAGAAGCGCGCATAAAGCACCACTTCGATATTTGGCAGCTGACATGTGGCGCAAATCTTTGTCTCAAATACCGCCCATGATGGGAACGCTTCAATGTTGGTCATAAGCGCTAATTAGGCCGCCCACTACAAGGCCTTACCCGCAAATGAGACATAGCGTACAATATCATTCTGGTAGCTTCCTTGATAAGCTGCGCCACCCCACATTGCTCCAAGGCTAATAGTCAGTTCACAATAGTGCGGTTGGCAGTACCATCGAATTTAGAAGGGTCCATCCTAATAGGCCCCAGCTGAATATACCGGGCCGAGAGCGACTCATCAGTTCTGTTAAGCGCCTCGTTCAGAGACTGCTCGCGCAGAAGCTCATCATGAATCTTACTGATGGACTCCGCTACTTTATGAATTCGTGCCTCGGACTCAAATACCCGCTGTCCGAGAACGAGCTTATCAAACTGTTCCAGCTAAGAAACGCGTGAGTCTAGTGGACAAATCGACAAATTAGCCGGGATTTGGTCACCAAGTCCCTGAGCCATATGATCAGCCACCTCCCTCTGATGTTGGGATAGGTGGGGAAATTGGGCCCAATAAACATAGAGGCTCATGCTCACAGACATACTCATAGAGATACAGATCGTGGGAAGTACAACTAGTGCTCCCGAGTGTAGGCGGTATTAGGCGAAAGGACTTGAGCGACAGTTAGATGTATTGATAATGAGTTTACCTTTCCAACCTATGGCTACCGTTAGTCCTCAGCTGCCCTTGCCCGCAGGTCTTCTCCCTACCACCCATTTCGAGTCACACCCAGTTTTACTATGCCTTATACACCATCAAGCATGAGCGAAAGTCGCACTTTGCACAAGAGAAACATATGTCGACGCGTCGTTTTCCAACAAGCGGGCGCTTCAAGCTACCACGCACTACCTAAACACACACCTCCAGGCACCTGCAACAAAGCTGTTCCCGTCTTCTCTCGCGTGCAGTGAGGTTTGGTGGGCGCTCTACGACTGCCTCACTGGTATATGTAAGCTTGTGTTGAGTGCGAAACGGACGCGGTTTCCCGTACTCCGGCCCACTCGTTTCAAAGATTACAAATTTGAGGCTGACTAACATTTAGTGTATTAAACAGAAATCTAAAATGTTGCTGGCTAAACGACAAAAGATAAGGCGGTCGCTCTGACGAGACGTCATCTTTGCAGCGCACTTAAAAATGAATTGAAGCACACTGATGACGTTCTCCAATGAAGTCAAGTAGTGACGTCATTCGTGTGTGTGACACACTTTGTGGTAGGTACGCAATTGCTGTACCCCAACCACATGAAAGATCAAAGTGCATACCACACTTAGAACTTTTCTCAGACTTTTCCGTGTCGTTCCACGGAAACTCTCGTGCAAAGTTTCGACCTCGTTACCGTATTTTCGAGCATAATCATGGGTAACGTGGAGTCTGTTTTTTACATGGCAATCCTGGAACTCTCTTCGGCACGTCAAGGCTGATGGCAGAGCTTCAACTATGCAGATCTTATATGAGACATGGAGATATAAATACAATCCTTATCGCTCAGTTTTAGCATTAGTACTCGCACAACCTGTTTCTATCTGTGATGGCAGAACTTAGAAACGACTTCGGCGCAGCCTTTTTTGTTGATCACGTAGATATTTTGTACGACGCTTCCATAAGCGTAATGCATCCAGCTCAACCGTACTAGTCTTGATGATAGGGTATAACGATATGAATCGTTGTCATTTTTATCGTGAGTTCAAAGGGTGAAGCTATGAGCGACTGTGCGCAAGGTGAATGTCCGACTTTTTAAATCGTACTTATTTGTGTGTGTGTGTCGTTATGTGTGTCTCTATCTGTAACAACGCGGCTAGGTGTAGCTTACACGTACTAAGTACGATCTAGCCTGCACCCCCTCATACGTGTGTAGGCATATCCGAATCCGCTTTTGGCTGGGTTGTGGCGCACGCACGTGATTAGCTTAAAATCAATCAAAATTGAATGTGATCACAGGTAAATGCTGGACGCATACAAGCAAAGGCTAATCGCGTTGCTTGAGAATACTGTACCGGGTTGACACATATAGTAACAGCATCATACTGCCTCTTCAGTGACTGCTGCTTTTGTATCGTGTTTTGCAACTTGATTCAGTTCTCCGAACTGGATTACTTATACCAAGGTCAAGCTGCCTTATCTTGAATGTGTCAGATCTCACACAAACGACGGTATGTGCAAAAAAAAGTAGCCTTGACGCTTTCGAATATTTGAGCATGTATGTTTATCAGACTGAATCTGTATGATAGCACACTCGCTCATGGGGCACTAGCCCAATTTCTTGTTGCATCGGTCGTGCAACTTTCCCCTGATGCTCTCGTTGCACATATTCTACCACGATCTTATTGTACCGAAAGGAAGTTGGTAAAGTAGGTGAAAATTCACTCGGGTTCACTCGGGTCGCTGTCGCAACTATATGAAAAGGTTCGTTTACGGCTTCGTTTTGTAATCTGACAATCTTGATTGGTAATGCAACAGGTATGACACAAGCTACTTTGTGGATACTGTAAGCAGATGGCCACGAAGTAGCTGAGCTTTTCTCCTTCTCTTATGCTACTTGTTTACGTCTACACTAGGTGGCTTGTATTATCTTCTTTTTGGTGCAATCAGGGGCAGGTGGTACGGTTTGAATCATTCGTTGTACCGAATCCGTGCTGTGTGATTGGGGAACAAGGACTATCAAAAGTGGTGTAGCTGTGGCTACCCTCGCGCAACTGAAGACAAGACAACATCAGTAAGTTGTCGAAGAATTTCCGACCTTTGGGGTCTTCCTTTGATTCGGTATCAAGCTTTGTTATGGCGAGAAGTGAAGCTCGTCATGAAAAACTTCACCATTATCTTAACAAACGGGGCCCGATGTTTCTAACTGCTGCAATGTTGCACTCACAGTATTGACACCAGTCTTCGTATATCTCTACGTCGGTCACGGATTTCGTTCATCCTCGACCTTTGTAGATTTGCAAATTGGACAACGAAACGCAGTGGCGGCTGATCGATCGGTCGACTGCTGATTGAAAATCTGGCTCGGCTCTAGCCCTCAGCTCGGCTCTAGCCCTCAATGTAGCGTGACACGGTCTGTGTGATGCTGTTATATGACATGAAAATAATGCCTTGGCCAGGAATGACGCGGCCAAGACGTGGCACGACTCCAGCGTAGAAAGATCCTACGCCCTCGTGCCGCAGCATCTGTTGGAAGCAATCCAATGTGTTTCTGTACTTTTGCGCCTGCAGTCCCTGCATGCGCGTCTTCACCACATCAAACGCTGTTTTGCACAATCAGAGCCACGTGTTAGCAGCACTATTCCAAGCATAGCGAGTTAACGGGACTCTGGGACGTACGATTATTGCCAAAGACGCTAAAGATGCCGGCCGTCATGCCACCGACAAGGCTTAGTGATGCGCGCTGACTACCAGTCATATTCTCAGCATCACTGATGACTCCATGGCGCTCGAGAAATGCAGGATTGACATGCTTCTGGAACTCGCTGAACCACATGAAGCGCAGACCTTGATTTGTCGACTACCGCGCCATTACATATTATAGATCAGTCCTGTTGGTGCAGTGCTATCACGATTTGGATCAACCACGCACCTGTTTCAAGATCGTTGCCCAAAGTCCCTGATACATGCCACGTAGACCCTCCTTTGCCACGATCATCTTTGTTCCTTCCCATAAGCCGGCGTTTGCACCGATCAGTTTCGTCTTGATCGTCTCAATCTACAGAGCCGTTCCAGCAAGTCAGAAACTCAAGATATGCTGCATATTATGCTGACCATGGCACGACTTACCGGTGTTGTGGCGAGTACGGCTTCGACCGCACCTGCCATCATGCCCGCAGCAAGATTGCGTACTGCTGACGTTGTGCCGTTCTCATCCGCTAGTTGTCGCTTCAGGTAGTCAAAGGCTCCGAAACGAATCCCGGCCTTAGGGATCGATCCTACAAGCACAGGTGCCAGTCCACGGTACAGCGATCTCACGCCATCCGTCTGAATGTGGTAGCGGAATCCACTGACCATTCCTTTGTACTGAGCGCGCATCGTGCCCAGTTGCAGGTTGGTTTTAATCATCTCCATGGGCCAAATGCTCAGCGTCTCAATGCCACCAGCGATGGCGCCTGCTGTCGTCGCCACCATTGGATTCTTCGGCTTGCTCGCCATGTTAATTGCGACACTTGGACAATAATCACGTCGTGCTGGACGCGTCCAGCTTCAGTTTTGAAGTTCAGCCACAAGATTTTGATTGGCAAGCCCAAAAAATGACACAGTCTCTTTTATGGTCATCTTTTGCCAATGGTATCCGATAAAGAGCACACTATGGCTACACTGCGAAGGTGATATTTGTTCACGTCCGATACACTAAGATTGTGCGTTTCTTTGTTCCGTGTCATTGCTGTGTTTTTGATGTGGCTGTCTTCTACACGGACTATTCCAAACTAGCAAGCGCACTTTGCAACCGTTGGATACCTATGCGGATCTCGTCTTCGCTGTAGAAAGCAAACGACAAGCGCGCACATCGTGCCATAGCTGTGTTGACTAACACTTCACCATTTCCATCACTGGACACAGTTTTCAGCGAGCACCGTGTGCCGGGCGTAAAGGCGACACCATGTCGAGCCTCGGCTTCCTTCAGCAGCAAATCGGTATGCACTCCTTCAGGGAATTGCAGCCAGATGAAGTATCCACCAGACGGCTCAGTAAATACAACGTCCGGGCAATGCTGATGTAAAGCAGCACACATTGCGGCCTTGCGGGCTCTCAAGACACGTCTCACGTGATCGATGTGGGGCATCAATAGGTCCTGCTCCATTACTGCTCGTTTGACACACACACGTTGCCAACGTGACACACAATGGCATCAAGTATGTCAGTAGATGAGCTGCACGGAATGAATCATAGCAATACACTTACTGGAGTGAACGAGCGATGCGGTGACAGGATTCTGACCGCCGCCACTGCGAAGCACTCCGATTGTGGACAACTTTTTGATGGTCCTCTTGCTGCTTTGAGCCCAACCTGCAAGAAAACGTGAGTGAGCATGCTCTCCCTATCTGGCACAACAATTTATCGATCGTTCCATCGCACCTAGCCGAAGGCCTGGAGCAAGAATTTTGGAGAAGCTTCCGAGCGAAACGACTAGACCCGAGTCGTCATATGACGCGAGAGGTTGCAACGCGCCACCATGCAGGTGAAGCAGGTTGTATGGCTCGTCGGAAATAATACGGAGCCCAAACTTTTGTGCAAGTGCCACAAGGCGCTTGCAATGGTCGGCAGACATGACAGCTCCCGTCGGGTTCTGAAAGAACGGAATCGTATACAGAAACGCCGGGACGTGGCCTGCAGCCAGCTTTGCTTCCAGCACGTCTAGCTACACAAACAGACAGAACACTATAAGAAGCAGTCATCACGACTCGACAGTTGTGTATCAAACAAACAAATACAACACGCCACGCACATTAATTCCATCCTTCCCCGTGTGAACTTCTTCCACATTAAGGCCGAGCTCACGGAAAATGTCGTGGGCCAAAAAGTAGGTTGGCGTCTCCACAAACACGCACTTGTTCGTCTTGGAGAACGCCATGGCAGCATGTGAAATGGCTTGGGAATTGCCAGCAGTCACCATCAACGTGTCTGGGTCCACCTCTTCAGCTGAACTGGTGCCTATATACTCATCCGATCATGATTCAAAGAGAGAGAGACGGAGAGAGAGAGGGATTGCTTCATCAAAAGCTCAAGAATATCTGATAAATGTCTCTACTCGATGACTCGTACCTGCCACGAGTTTCGCAATCTCCGCTCGGAAGCCGATAAAGCCTTTTGCAGTTCCATACTGCAGCATTAAAGGGTCCTGACTCAGTGTGAATCGAGCCATTGCCGCCTCACGAAACGTGGTCAGAGGGGGCAGTAGAGACGCTGACGGTTGTCCGATGCCAAAGTTGATCACGCGATCGGACGCGTGCGTCTGTGCGTACGGTGACGACTGCACCGTCGTCTTCACCGACATAACGTCAAGTTTGTCTTCTGTATCGTAGGAGAGATGAGCCGCACGTCCTGAACGAGAGCAGCACCGAGGACTGCGACTGCTCAGGTGGCGAAATAGACCCGCCATCTCGATGTTGCGAAGTATTGTCCACCTTCGCGCGACATTCGAACTTCAACCTCTCGTCTGCTGCTTCTTCAATGAAGCACGTACAGGATTGGTCGATATGATGTTACGTGTGACAGTGATTGATCACCTTTTTTGTGCTTCGATAGGCCACTTCCCAGTCGACAGCCAGCTGCAACAACGGACAGACGACGAGACTCTTTGGGGAGCCAGGAAACTGGGCCGCTTGCCCTGGGCGGGAAGTCCCCCACAGTGGGGCCAAGGTAAAATGGGGGAAGGCTTCTCCTCGCTGCGTGCGCTACGGGAGGCAGCGCAGCGTGCGGCTCGAGAGAGAAGCAGTCAGCAGGATATCCTGATGCAGGGCACGTCGACGATGGATCGAATCACCCTGCAAAACGGAGAAGGTCCTACACCTTTCCCGGTCTGCCTACAGTTTGCCGACACGTTCGCTGAGCATGAGCCCGGTCCCACGAAGAGAACTCCTCCAAGACCATGATGACGACCCCATTGAGATCCAGTACCGGTTGTTTATAGGCACTAGCACCAAACCCGATACTCTTCGTCCTGTGGCGCGTCTGGGCACATTTGAGCACGTGCGAAAATGAGAAAGCTAGGAGTAGTAAGACTGTGTCATGGCAGATGACACGAGGTGGTTTCCACCACACAACCAGACATCTTATTTGTGAAATCATAGACATTCTAAGCCTCTCTCTAAGATTGTTGCGATAGAACGTTTGGTCGTGATGTACGTCAGCGGCGAGTATTTGATTCAAATTGACTACATCACAGCTTAATCGACTGCACAACCTTTGCCATCACCTCTCCATGCTACTTTAGTACCAGACACCTCGATGTCACAGAGCTGCTCCGACTCTTGACTCGTTGTCGTCACGTTCTCTGCAGGCACCATACAACGAGAAGCGTCTGATTGCCAACTGCACGATGTGGCGCGTTGCTCGTACCAGTCAATACTATGGGGTATCGTCAAATGCCATGACTCCACTCTGCTCGTAGCATTTGGTCGCGAAGTGAGCCGACGCAATTCGTGAGCACGTTGTCGTGACTCGACGTTTGTGGGTAAGCGGTGGAAGAGATTGGGGATTTACACTGCGATAACGATGTCTTCTTCAAATAGCAGCACTCATCGACCGTGTCTTCCACGAAGTCTAGGCTGCTCAGCACTAGTCGTTTTGATCTGCTCACGGACATCATGCTGAACAAATGCCTCAACGGTCTCTTGAGCGCAGGCGATCGATTGCCAAAACTTCTCGCTCTTTGGACCAAGAATCTCGTGACTTCAATGGCAAAATAATAACAATCATGCGGTCATGAAGGATCTTCATTGTCATTTCGGCTTTAGCTGACATCACTTTTCGTCAATTTATCTTACGGAAGACACGACAATAATCGACAATATTGTCGTTGCCGAAAGCGAAACTATTGCTGCATTTCCGGAAATTTGCAATACGATGTTGTGAACCGCGGACCGTGACCGTCCGCAACTTTTTTGACTCGAAAGTAAGCGAGAGAGTCAACGCCTTCTAGCCAGCCAATTCACCGCAGCAAGTGTGAAGTAACGATAGTGTGGTGCGTCGCCTGGAAGCCCGTCCAACAGCTCAATTGGCATAAATTCTCCCGAGAAGACTGAAGCAAAATGGTGATCAAGTAAGTGCACAAGCAGTTGATATATGATCACCAATAAGAAGGCAACAACCGAAAGCATACGGATAGAAGGAACCCACATGCATTGACTCCCCTCCTATTCCTAAGCTTTCCACGATCTGCAGCTCAGCTATCGATATAATGTCGAAGGAGTTCATTATAGACGTCCAATGGACAGCTAGCTAGTCGATAGATACGAAGAAGGAAGCACCTCTAATCTGTGCGTGCGATCTTGTAACTTTCAGGACCGAGACGTGCTCGTTCAGCGAGAGCCGCATCTACCCCGGCCACGGCTCGCGCTACATTCGTCGCGATGGCTCGGCTTACGTGTTCATTAACTCGAAGAGCAAGTCGCTCTTCTTGCAGCGTAAGAAGGCCACCAAGATCGTGTGGACGTTGGGCTGGCGTCGCATGAACAAGAAGCTCAAGGTGCGTGGTAGAGAGTGAGGGGTACGCGGATCTAAATACTTACGGGTGAACTCGGTTACTCCCTGCTTTGATACTGCAGGTCGAAGACGTCGCTCGCCGTCGTGCTCGCAAGACCACGAAGATCCAGCGTGCTATCGTGGGTGTTTCGGCTGAAGACGTACGTGGTTTTTATTGTTTCGGGTGCTTTGAGCTGCCTGGTTGTATGCCAGGAGTGATACTGATTTCGATGTGGGTTTGATGGGCAAATGACAACAGATTCACAAGAAGCGCAACCAGAAGCCGGAAGTCCGTGCTGCCGCTCGTGCTGCCCTGAAGGAAGCTAAGGAGCGCAGCAAAGCCAAGAAGGCGGTCACCAAGGCTGAGCGTGCAAAGAAGGGCCCTAGCGGCAGCAATGCCGCCCCGCGTGCGCAGAAGAAGTCGGGCAACCGTGGTGCCATTTAGATGATCCAGATCATTGAATTTGATCGACGCACAGCTACTCGGGAGATCGTCACCACTTGAATGCTAATCATTGCCATGGAAAAAGTCTTTCTCTTAGACTGCGTGTTATCCCACGACTCTCCACTCTCGAGTCTCGTTCGGCACTTCAATTGTCCGCTACCGAGATAAATCGAGCAACGACCGCAATCGACATCAGTCTTGCAGAAAAGTATTGTAAATAGCTCCCGACTTCTTTATACTCCTTCAGAGAATTCCCGAACGGATCCACCACCTAAATCCCGCATACCTCCATTTCTGCGGCTACCGTAAGCAACGACTCGACTTTATGTATTTATTCAGCAATAAAACACACACACACCCCACCACCTCGTCACCGCAGTATCGCTGTGCTCCAATCAAATTGCTTGGTCGTCCCCATTCCCTCCATTCACTGACTTGCCGTGCCTTTGTGCCTGTGAATCAACCATTACGACAATGACGACCCCTCCGCCTGCTACTGCTGCTGGCCACTGCGCCACGTCCAAAGAACTCACGAGTAAAGACTATTACTTTGACTCGTACTCGCACTTTGGCATTCATGAAGAAATGCTCAAGGATTCCGTGCGTACCAAAGCGTATATGAACGCCATCCTACAGAGCAAACACCTGTTTAAGGACAAGGTGGTTCTGGACGTCGGGTGTGGCACAGCCATCCTGTCCATGTTTGCAGCCAAAGCCGGAGCTAAACACGTCTACGGTGTGGACTGTTCGGGCATTTTGACGCAGGCGCGGGAGATCGTCAAGGCCAATGGCTTTGCTGACAAGATCACGCTCTTTCAAGGCAAGATGGAGGAGCTCACGCTGCCTGTGGACAAAGTGGACATTATCATCTCCGAGTGGATGGGCTACTTCTTGCTGTACGAGTCCATGCTGGATACGGTGCTCTTTGCTCGGGACAAGTACCTCGTGCCCGGGGGTCTCATGTTCCCAGACCACTCGACGCTCTACATTGGGGCTATTGAAGATGGCGAGTACAAAGCCGAGAAGCTCGAGTTCTGGGACAATGTCTACGGCTTTGACATGAGCTGTATCCGGGACATTGCCAAGGTTGAGCCGCTTGTGGACACAGTGGGCAGTGACGCACTACTGACGGACGTGTGCCCCATTCTGGACATTGACCTTACGAAGGTGACGAAGGAGGAGCTGGCGTTCTCGTCTTCGTTCAAACTGACGCCGTTTCGTCAGGACTTCTGCCATGCATTGGTGGCGTACTTTGACTGCACGTTTTCGGCTACGCACAAGCAGCTCAGCTTCTCGACGGGACCCAAGGCGGAATACACACATTGGAAGCAGACTGTGTTTTATCTGGAAGGAGAGCTCGCGTGCAGTCCAGGTGAGGTGATAGAAGGCGAGCTCACGTGCAAGCCTAACGCACTCAATCCGCGTGACTTGGATATCAATATCAATGTACGTTTCGATGGCGCTAGTGGATCGTACAGCAAGCTTCACGAGTTCAAGTTACGCTAGGGAGGTCTCGATGAGAGGGTTCGACGCATGCATGCTCCACTTGCCTCTATATTAACGAGTAGACTAGCCAAACCAACAGACGATACTCTAACCATTTCCATTATCTTGCAGATGTTGTCGTCATGTGGAGGGTCTCTCTCCTCAGTTGGATGCATCTAGCTTTGCTCATTCCGCTCGGCCTTGTCCACCTTGTTTGTTCTCTATAAATATCGGATCTCCCTCCTCCTCTTTATCAGGCAGCCGCAATGCACAAGCTTTAACATCAATCGATGGTCCTCCTCAATTACCAATTCATTGCTGCTCAATATCCTCCATCTCCATGTCCCCATCGGCGTCTTCCTCCTCAGCTTCTTCCACCGCGCTCGCTTCGTCATCCTCGTCGTCGTCATCATCGTCTTCCTCCAAGTCGATGTCCTCCTCCATACCATCGGCTATAGTCCCACCAATCACAATGTCCGTGTAATTATGGTCAAGCTGAGCCGCCGCTTTCATGAGCTCCTCGTCGTCGACGAAGTCCATTTCCAGGTCGTTATTACCACCACCGCCCGTCTGCATCGCACCAAAGCCTGTAGCCGTAGCCGCAACATCGTTGGCGTCTTCCATCGCATTCGGATCCGGAGCACCCGCAGGGGACCAGTCAATAGGGAAGCGCGTAACCCGTGGTTTATCAGCCAGAATATTGCGCTGCAGCTTGGAAATGTCCACGTGAGCCGGTGGGTTCTCCAGCAAGAACGGGTCGGCATAGTCGTTGTTCACATAGTACCCCACCCGAACAAACTCTCGCCCACGGTACGAGCACGTGACCAGCGCCACGGTAACGCCCACTTTGTCCTCATCTGGAATCAGATCTGGGTTCGGCGGGTCCGACTGGAACACAAACTTGTTCGTGCCAACGGGCACGGGCCCTACGAGCACTTCTTCAAGCACTTGATCACGACTCTCGTCTTCAGCGCTTCCGACGTACGTGATCTTCCACTCGAGATCTACAACAGCAGGCACAGCGTAACCATCAGATCAGATAACCCCTTCGTAACCAATTGACTGACTAAACAACCACTAAGATACAAAACATTGCTTCTCGTTAGGTTTAATTGGCTATTAATGCGAATGGGTGGACAGCAGGAAATTAGGGAACGACGAACCGGCTTCGAGCTGTTGGGCGCACTCGAAGGTGACTTCGAATTGGAAGGGGTTCGTGAAGGCCGTCGGGTTATCGAGTACCGTGATGTTGGTGAGCGTGACGTAGGCCATCGTGTTATTGGTAAGGCTGTAAAAGGGGGAATATGACGAGCAGGGAGCAGTGGGAGGCTCGGGTCCGAGCCGAAATCGCTTGAAGTACGAACGACTAGTACTCCCTCACTGGATCAACGAGAGCGCCAAATTTTGGGGTGGTGGTCGACTAAGTACGATCGCACTCCATCCTGCCAAAAAATCGATGGATAACGTGTCAGTCGTCGAGGCTTATTCGGTAGAAAGCGGGATACGGTCGGACAATAGGACATCAACACAGGATAGACAGCACCGGTGCACAGCACAACAACGTGGCCGACAATAAAAACAAGATCGTGAGCTGAGAAAAAAGGTGCTCACTGAGCATCCGTTGTTCAACGTGCCGACGACTGTGTCGGTGGAAAAAAACTGTCCAGCGTGAGTTGACCAGCTTTCCGTCGCTTTTTTCTCGGTAATCGCGGCTGGAAACCCATCGACCAACCTGAACGTCCAGTGATCGAGGAAGATGTAGCAGCTGTCGGTTCCGACTGGAAGCACGAAATGCTGCAAGGCACCTTGGACACTGCTTGAAGACCGTCACTCAAGTCAAAACAGCCATTTGTGAGCTCAATAACTCTGCCACAGGATAACTCGTCCATACTGGCGGACGTGGCAGGTGCTGACTTGAGCAGCTGCCGCCCGTTTACTGCATAGTTGTTAGAATTGTCTATAAACGAGCAATCGCGCTTGACCGAGCGTCGCTGTACCCATTGAGGCTAAAAACCACATCCAAAAACACTGGAGCGTCAACAAAAGGCAGCGATAAATAAACAGACACATCACGCACCTCGGATGTCACGCTCTGACTTTTGTCACTACCGCTTGACCAGGTGGCAAATGGACGCGTGGCAGTTCTGGTAGTGCTTGCACGATTAATTGCGTCGTCAAAGCCACCTGGCCATGAGTGACTGTGGAGACCAACATCGGAATTTGGAATTCCAGCGGGTTTTATAAATGCTGGCTCTCCAACAGTAAACGTATCGCTCAGCGATCTTTTGTCGTCTCCCGAAGGTTGGCTGCCATCGACATTCGCTTCGGGAATAACCTTGATCGTTGTCAGATAAGAAGGACGGGTAAATGCCCTTCGTTCGTGTGGACTGCAAGAGATCGATGAGCTGCTCTCAGATGGGATTGAAGTATGCCGCGGGGCATGAATAACGTCTACAAGAAACAACCACTCGCTCGATTATTACATCGACAACGACACCAATTGAGACGCTCAAAAGACGACTTACTGTCAAAAACTTCTGACGCTTCTTCCTGGATCTGGCTGACTGTCAATCGCCGCAGCAGCATCAACAACACGAGCAGACACAAGACCACATTAACATGTGTAACCACTTTTCGTCTCGTCCAAAAAGCTCAATGGGATGAATTTGTACCATCAATCACGTCTTCCCATGAACACGACTGCATCCACTGAGACGGCTGTGTCGCAGTGTCACAATCTTCATCTCCTACAACATCCTCAATCCAGATACAACCCATTTAGTACGACACGCCATCCATCGATCAGCCATTACTATACTTCTACTCTACATATTACACACCATCAAAGTCCTGGCTCGGGTTCATGTCCAAGCTGTCCATATCCGAAGCATTCTGTTTTGTCCGCAAAAATAATAAACATAGAACAAATAAGATAAACACTCGCGCATTAGCCACATCACATTAGACAACAAAAGAAAAAACGAATACTACTATAAAGAACCGACAAAAACACCATGCATTCCCCTAACCTACAATTTCCACAAACTCCGTGAGCTGCTCGTCCATGTCCAAACTGTCCTGCTCGCTCTTATCACTACCATTATTATTGCCCACTATTTTGCGCCTTTTATGAGCTAGTAACATCGCCGACGCCGACGAGTGCGTCTGCCACGTCCCCTTCGTCCACTCACTATTGCACTCGGACGATCGGAACGCAAGAGGGGCGCTGCGACACGGGAGCTCAACGTGGGTAGGGGACATTGTCCCGGACAATAATGTCGATTGGAAGATGCAACCCTCGCGCCTCGCGTCGTGGGACACAAGGAGCATGTGGCACTTTGGATCGGACAGCAACAGGCGCGACCTTCGATGTATGAAAAATCGAGATATTAATGTCGACCCGACGATTTTCTAGCACGAGGCACTATCACGAGGGAAAGATGAAAAAAGAAGCCGTCGGAAACGACGTCTTAGAGAAGAATAGGGGTCGACCGACCGACCGAACGACTTATGACCACACATGTTACTTCAGTACATATTCTCGTCGCTTGGATCAAAGCCGCTATTCAGTGCAGCTCGGAACTCGTCGTTTGCACGTAAGAGCTCGGCAACGCGATTGTATCGTTCAGGATCCTTACGGATGAGGAAGATGAAGCACTCGGTGTCCAGTTTGCCCTTGACAGCTGCCAGATCCATCGCCTTTTTTGTCTGGAAAAAAGCAAAAGTAGCACCGACAAAATCCCCCCACAAAAAGATGAGAACGTCAAGTTCAGTCCTCGTAATGACGCACATAAGCACGCTTGGGTACCATTGCGTGCACGTATTCTACCACCAGCTCCTCCATCAGTTGGGCCGTCTCGTCGCGCGGCTCGTTCTCGTCCCCGAAGCCAAAGAGCATGTGCTTGACTGTGTGGACATTAGACCAAATGAGCGAGAGCGTCGTATCGATATGAGGTTGCAGCCGTTATGCTACGTCCGATCTCATTTGAAATCGCTGACAAAACCTACTGCTATCCACCAACTCTCCACGCGCAAGTGGCTTCGATTGAGCTGCTTGGGCTCCCTGAATGTCCGTGCAGGAGTCACTCCCGGTAATTGATGTATCGCCATCACTAAGTAAGCGCTTCCCCGGACCAAGGAGTGACCTGCCACCGGCACCTGCGTCGCTTGTCTTGCGTTTGCGCGACTTGGGCGCGGCCTTCTTCTTGCTGCTGTCTGAGCTGATCATAACGTGCTATGTCGGTTGTATGTCTCGTACGACGGCTTCCTATTGGTTGACAAAACAAAGACGTGGGTAAATCGCTTCAACTGGGGCGCGAGTACGTCGTAACCCGTGACCTGATGTTAATGTCTAGCAACATGAATATAGACGATACGTATGACGATTTCCCAGAGTGATCATAGCGGGGCATCATCCAGCGCTACTTAAGCTCGGGAATATTACCAAAAGGGGAGCAGTCAGAAACACTCACCGATTGGCTGATATGGGCCATCACATCAGCCAGCTCTAGCAGTCCAATCAACGATGGACGCGCGCAATGCGTGATGAGCAAGACTTTTGCATGCATTTTGGTAGGTGAGTATGATTAAGTTAGGACTAAACTTAGGTACATGTAATTAGGACTTGATTACAGTTAGTACAGTCTTACTTTTACCAGCAACTAGTCAGTTTCTAGTTGCTTTCCCTTCTTCTGTCGGGTTACAGAGGTAGCAAGGCATCACTCACGCTGCTGTCGGTGATTATAGCTCCACACTGGTCGTTCAGTGTGTTGCTCCAGTGCCCCGTTACAGTCGTGCCCCCGCGCCATGTGGAAACACGGACACGATCAGCAAAACCAGAGAAAACTGAAGCAGTTGCACATGAGTACGCTAACATTGCTGAACTTTGCCAAGACTATGAGCTTGCGCGTGCCGGCTTGACCAAGAATGGTCAAGCCGGCACGATTTTATGGTACCGCTGTGGCAATCTAAATTTCAATGTAGTCGCAAGGCATTGAAGACCGGGCAGCAGCACGCCGCTCAGAAAACAAAAGCGCGGAAGGTGGTTAGTGGTATTTTAGCCATGATAATCGGGGTGCGGCAGCGTTAGCAGCCAGCGAGGAAGACGCAACAAGTACTTTGTGCTGTAGCCAGCATCGTCTTGTTTTTTCGTTAATGTTGAAGCAGCTAATGACGCCGTGACGTGGTGTCAATGTTTGTCCGTTTACATGCAGGTTAGCTCGATAATTGCTACAAGACCGACCTGATGCAGATGTGCTCGCATAATATTCTCATTTGACCTAGCCATGACTCGGTCAAAATGAAGTCGCTGAATAATAAAATACATTATATTTATTAAAAATTCATTATTTTATATTATTGAAATATATATGAAAAAATTTAATTGTTATTTTAATAAATAAATTAAAAAAGTATGGCTCGAATATAACTCCAAGAGAAGCTTTATGGTGTTCAGGTGTAATTATTTTTATTTTAATGATGGTAACAGCTTTTATGGGTTATGAATTATGATCCGTCACCGACTTTAAGACATGAATAAAATATTGAGATTTAGTATTTCATCATTTGTAAATGAGATTGTAAATTACTTCTGAGACCGGAGATATTCTCAATCCTACCAATCAGAAGGTGTAAATCGAGTAAATCACGGTAATGTATTAGGGTGGTGGGTGGTGAACAAAAACCTGAGGGGTGGCTAACAAAAACCTGGGGGGTGGTGAGCAAAAACCTGGGGGGTGGTTAACGTTTCTCATTTTTATTTTCGTGATTAAATGGGGTGCCTTTTATTCTCCCTAAATATGAGTATCCTTCACAACACTATTTGCCCTAATTTGATGGTTTCGATGAGAACAGCACATGCTTGATCGGCAAAAATGTATAAATTATTGCTTTAAATACTGATGTGGCTGCATCTGCCAGGTCTCGAACCGTATTCAACCAGGTTGGCACCAAGTACACGAAAAACAGCAGGCACCTCCTACGAGGAACATGCTCGCGTGAACATTAGCCTCGAATGGCCATCTTCATGATACGCAACGGAAGACTCTACGTGGACGCTTTGGGATCGGGGGAGGCAAATCTGGAACAACAGCATCACTCGGTAGGTGCGGCACGTGTTCTAGCAAACCCCACGGATCCACAGGTGCGTGTGTCGGTTCCACGCTTTTCGAATCCGCATCGCCCTGATGTGTCTTCGCTGAGCAATCCACAAAGACACACGCGGCTCCAAAAGGGTTCACAGGGCGAGGTAGCACAGACCAAACACGCCGCTTGAGGTCATTTGGGAGTCGTAGCGCCTCCACAAGTTCCTGAAATGATCCGTCATGAAAAAGTCAGTATCCTCCTACGATTGATATGCAACAGGTACCATGACACTCACATATTGTCGGCTGTGGAGCACAGAGGCATTGACGACTGGAATGAGGTCTAGGATCCAGCTGAAGAGTGAAAGCCCGGGTCCAGTTGAGACTGCAGATGTACCCAGCAGAGCAAACATCGTTTTGACGATGCGGTCACGGTAGCAAATAGTCATCACAGCATGCTTGCTGGGTCCGATTACACCCACTAGCTGCAGACGCACCGCTAGCTTACAGCGAAGTCGACGCAGCAAAGAGTAGCTGTGTGGACCAGATTCAGCCAGTGTGGACCGTTGCTGCTTGTCATGTATCGTACAGCCCTCGTACAACCACTCGAGCTGAGTAGCGAGTGACATCATGTAGCGTGGCAAAAAAGCGTTCCCAGGAGACGTGCACATAATGCCACTAACGAGATGCACGACAGATGTCATGTTTAAACGTCGGGCGAACTTCTCAGGTTGCGAGTGCTTCACGTCATCTTCGAGAACCTGTAAAACTTTGGCAATCACTGATCCCATAGCGCGTCTCGAGATGCTGCAAACGGTAGCGGCATACAAAGATGCCACTGCCGCGTCTTGCGCCTCCCCAGCTGCATCCAGCATACGGGCTTCACATGGGGTCAAAGAGTTGTACGTCGCTGCAACAGACGTAGGCAGCGTCAGCACTGATGCCTTTGTTTCAGTGGTATCATCGAGACCTGGAGTACCCCCACGGTGTTTGCCGTTGTTTCCTTCATCGAGGTGAACGTGACGCGGCGTATTGTAAAGTTTGGGAGTAGCTAAGGGTGACGATGACGAGAACGTAGTCATGGCGACTGGTGTCGGCGGCACCGGCACAGACGAGGATGCTGTGATGGATGATGACGACGCAGTCGATCCGATCCCAATTGGTGGTCGTGAGCTGCGCTTCAGCGTGCGCAGCACAATTAGACTTGACAAAATTTCGGTAGCACTACTCGTCTCGTCGTAGCCCAATTCAAGCTCAAGATCGCCATCATCTGCTTCCTCTTCTCCATTCAAAAAACCGCTGCCCAATAGACTACCACCGAACGAAGTTTCTGTATCTGTGTGGCTACCAAGACACGTTGTTTCATCAGTAAATCCATTCACTCCTGCTGCCACAACACCCTCACCACTATCCATCGCTATTCGCTTAGTCAAGCGCACAGACGGATCAGCTTGAAGAGCTTTTCGTTTATTGCAACCTGCTGGATGCGTGGGTACGTGTTGGCGCTGAAGTCGCGAGCGTCGCTTGGAGCGCTTTACTTTCTGCTGTTGTCTGCTCATTTGCAGGTCGAGATAAATTGAGCCGCCACGGTGAAGTGTCCAGACGTTCATCTGATCAATTATTTGCCCCACCTTCAGCAGCTGGACCTGCCCATTCCCGTCCTCTGCTGGCGATGATGGTGGCCGGAAAAAGTGTGTCAGCAGCACGGCCGTATGCCACTGCTTCTTGTGGTAAACGGGAAGGATGTGTTTTTCACGGGCCTCTTTCGTGTCGTGAAAAATAGTGTCGCGAACGATGCCGTCGGACGTCAAGTTGAAGAGAGTGGCGCTGGCCAACGTGCCACGCTCTTCGCGCTTGCGAAGCAGAAAGTTATCTTCCATCTGGTATGAGATTTGGCACAACAAGAAGCACAACGGGAACATCAGGCATGCCGGCACCTGTGAGCGTAGAAATCGCAAATGGTATTTTGTCTACGATTCCAGATGAGCACAATTGGTCAGAACAGACATCATCGATACATAACAACCTGCAGTCATTGGAATCTTACCAGCGGCTCATCAAACATAACCACTTTTTGTGAATCCAACAGTAGATTCTGCGGCGGTTCTGAGAAAAGCTGGAAGACAAGAGCCATCGCGAGAAGCTGCGTCGGCAAATTTGGAGGCGGATCACGGGATGCGCGGCGCTGGAATCGTAACACCCATGAGTCACTGACAGTACGCGTGGATCAAACAAAGGTCATAAAAGTACAACGTACCAGTCGCGGGAAGAGCGGCACGAGTACCAGTCGAAGCATTTGGGAGAGATTCAACACTTTATGCACAGCCAGAGATACTAGAAAACTCTTCAGCCCGTACTGCACACGGTCCAGACGGCCTTTCTGGTTGAGTGCAAAAGCCTCCTTGCTGTTATCAGCATTCAAAAATGGATTGCGCGAACGTTTGGGCGTGTCACTGCCAGCAAAACCAGGCAGCACTTCCTTCTGTAACCAAACTGCTAGGGTGTTGGAGAACTTTTCCCTAAATTCCTCACCATTGTCAGGATGTTGTTCCACAACCTCCCGAATAAGACGGACGCAACGGTGCATATAATGCGGGGTCGTAATGGGCCTCTTGCAATTGGACTTTACCCGTGCCAAAATATTAGCCATCCATTTATCCATCACCTCGCTCAGCACAGCTCGAAAGAAGAACACGTAGTTAGGCGTGCGCCGCTCCCTTGTTGCATTCGCGTTTGTGGACCCCACAGCAGAAGATGTCATGCTCATGTTGATTGCAGCCACCGCAAAGTCGACCGCGCTATCACGCGACTTAGCTTCTGCTGAAGGCGTCGCCTCACCGACAACATCCTGCCATAACAAGCTCGAGTAACTGGGCTTGAAGGCTGCAAAAGACTCAGTAGAAGCTGAGGCATCTTGATTCATGCTATTCGGACTCTGTAGCGGAGTGCAACTACCAGCGCCAGGAGTTGCAGGTGTCTGCTTACCATCGGCACTAGGGCCATCAAAAGAACGCGCTTGCAAGGCTTTGAATGCCCGTGCAAGTGCACTCTTTAGCTCCGGAGGAAGAACTTCGCGGGGTGGTGGGATACGCACGATCGGGTTCGTCGTCTCCAGCGTCATCTCTTTGGCCTTTTGATTGGCGTTAGCCCCGCTACCATTTGCATTAGCTCCCGAACCATTCACGTTGCCTCCGACTGCAGTCGCATCTTGGTTTTTTCTAGCTGTTTCTGCAATCGGCTTAAGCAGAGCAAACGGCAAGTCCAACTTCGCGATCTCTTTCTTTTTAATGTGCGCATAATACATCTTGCAGAAAAACTGAGCCACGTTCCCAGTCTTATCATCGGCATGCTGAGGAATACGATGGAAGCGGTCCACGAAAGACTGCAGCAAAAATGGTATCTGGTCCGTAGCACAAAACGCGAGTTCGTGGCGTTCAATCATAGCCAACACTACGTTCTTGACAAGAAAACACGGGGAACGCCGCAGGAAGTGTACAAGAACCTCGAGAAGACCCAGCACGTCCACGATTTCAAGCACGAGGCATACAAGCCGCATTATGTGCTCTACACTGCCGTGATCAGAAAATCGAAAAAAAGTGGCCTCTTCATAAATATTGTGAAGGAACCAGCGCGTGAACCGCCCTTTGTCGTGACCGCACATGGTTTTCACGGCTGAAACCAGCTCACCGACTTTGCCCTGATACTCCACTTCTTTTACTGCTCTACTGCTGTCCGTGCTTGCAGCTCCAGCAGCTGCACCCGCTGCCCCCGGTGTTCCGACATTCGCTGGATCGTTTGCCTGGCCATGCGTGTGAAACACGTAGACACAAAGTGACTGAGCACGTTCGAGTGTCTTCGAACAATTAAGATGGTCTTGGCGGAGATCCATAACTTCGAGCCATTGCAAATAGTTGAGCTCGCCATCATAGCTGCTTTCCGGTAGCATGGGCACACATGTTGGCAACGGAAATGGGCTGCGTGGAAGCTGCCACATATATAGCTTCAGCCGATCGCTTGGGGATAGCAAGTAAACATCACTGGACTTGTACCCTCGCCCTGGCGAACATTCAATGTTGTACGCAGTGTGAACTACCGGTGCTGATTCGTTCCGCCTGGCGACACCAGCACCTCCTGCAGCTAGCACGAGCAATGGGCTGTTGCCCGTGCAAGCCGCTGCTTCATTACAGCTCGATGCGAATTTTACGAAGCTGGGCACACTGAATAGTCGACGCCGCACGAGGAGACAGAAAAGCTCGATCACCTGAGTAATCTCCGTGATCACTTTAGGCTCGTACCGTTGCAAGAAGTTTTGCAAAGCACCCTGAAGAACAACTTGATGGTCCTTTGGTCCGCAGTGGAGTAGCAAACCTTTGCTGTAAGACCAAAAACCATCAAACACGTGTCAGCTTTTACTGTTGCAGCATTTTGCTACGTAAACGTACTCTTTGCCGTATTTCAAAAGAGCATTGCTATGCATCTCGATCAGTGCGAGCGCGGACAAGTACCGGTACTCAGCTGGACGTTGGCTTGTTACTGCCCACTCGCAAACGAGGAAGAGTGCAGCGATGTCGACTGGCACGTCAGCTGAAGATCCATTACCAGTGGAGCTTACAAGAGGAAGCGGATAGAATACTTCGCCATAGACACGATGCAAGTCCAAAGTCGAATCTACGCGATGAAAACGGTCTAAAATCTGCAAGATCTGTGCCTCATTGCGCATCGCAGCGGCGAGAACCTGACCTCCGCCCACGGAACTTGAGGACGGGCACGCCTGTTGAAGACGAAGAATGCGCCCTGTAATATCCCTCTTCTTCCTGTGACAGCGATCGATACATGCCTGTATTGCTGCAGCACCGTACGCGTTGTGATTGAAGAACCGGTCGGTGAATACGTAAGCTGGCCATAATGGAGGTGCTGTGCATAAACGTCAAGTCAAAAAAGTGTACAGTAGCAACAGCTATCAGCTGGAAACATCATCAACGCACCGTTATTCTCGAGACGAACTAGAACATCGCCTCCATTAAGCAGGATATCTCGCAGCAACTGGCATAATGCCACTACAAGTTCTTCATAAACTGATCTTCCTTCGGTCTCCTGGGGAATCGGACAACTAGGGGGAAGCAGGTACCGCAGCTGCTGCAACACTATCTTTACAAGCATCGAAACTGCATCCGCAGAAAGCAGTATTTCTAGAAGCAGTTTCTGCACCACCAAAATTAGCTCCATGATACCATTCACTCCGAGTGCCAGCACGGCTGAACACCGCATGAGTCCACCATTTGTTCCGCGCTGTGATCGAGGCGTCATGGATTTTTGCAGTAGTGACAAGAGTCCGTCAAAATAGTGCGCACGGTCTAAGATCCCCAGCTTGAACTGATATTCAGACAGCTTGAGTACGTACGACCACTCCTCATACCGTGATGATAGCGCCGTTGAAGAGATCTCTACTCCACCACTACCAGGTGCTGCCTGAGTTCCGGTACTACTTCGAGCGTGATCTATTACTGACGTCTCGCCATGCCGCAGCCTTGGAGCCATCTGCTTGTCCCCTGTGGACCCTTTACTCGTTGCTTGCGACGGTAACGCCGCTGCGGTGCCTCTATTTGATAACGTCTGAGTACCATTTGCCGTGAGTTTCGAGTTCGCTGCCTCTGCTGATCTATTCTCCACCCCTGCGCTAGAATCTACCGCTGCCTGACGCACTGCCATGTGCAGGTAATCAATGAGCTTGTCAGTCCATCCCTGACTACGTCGCTGGTTGCGACGTGGGCTATAAAACCAATCGCCTGTCCGAATCGCGCCGTCCCGCTGCAGTTCCCGCATTTCTGTATACACCACATTAATCCGTATAAACCACGTCGCGTCAGCGTACGCCGGTCGATATTTCACCACCAGTTCAAGCAGTGGGCACTTTGAGATCCCCGGCACAGCTCGCCATTGTTTAAACGGCACCCCATGCGCTTGTGTAAGCTCTGCCGTACTGCGAGCACCGCTCGATAGTTCGCTCATCCAGACATGGCAAGTGCGTTCATCAAGTCGCCGCACGTGGCGAATCAAATAGTTTGTAAAAGCGTGCTCGACTGCTGCAGCCGCAGTAGTTCCATCTTCATTAAACACCGGCAACCCAACCCCAGCACTTTTCGTATCGTCGTGAGCTTCTTCCTGTAAGCGCGCAATCGCGCGAGTTGCTCTCGTCAAATCATCAAAAATTGCCAATTTCTTGTCCGTAAAAGCCGAATACTGCAAATGCCACTGCTGATTGAATCCGCGCGGCAACGGACTCACAAACGCCGCATTCCGCAGCGCGTGGAAACGGAACTTTTCCTCTGGGAAGTCGGCGTTCGTCGGGAACACACTTGGGAACATGGCCAGCTTGTCACTCACGTACGGGTGCCCTGCATCCTGCATCCCAATCCCAATCCCATTAGAAAAAAACTACGGGACCCCGACATTCCAACCTCCCATACCCCTAACCCCCATCTGGCCGTACCTTCATATACTTCAAGTCCATGCCGATCACGCGCATCGCCTCGTCTGCTGGCAAAAGCTCCTTTTTCTTTGCCCCCGTGCGGTGCATCAGCAGCAAGTTCTTCCGGTCCCGGAGCCGCAGGGCCGCGTTCCCAGCCGTCCCAACGGAGCTGCGGGTGCCACTGCTACTGCCGTTACCTCGTCTTTCTTTCGTGCCGTCCCTCGAGTGCGAGCGCTGGCGACTGCGGCTGTCCCGGTCCCGATCCCACTCCCGTGGGCCCGTAGCATGGGACGAGCCGCGACGAAAGGAGCCCGTGGACGCATAGCCACTGCCGCCGCGTCCACCATGGGGTAACGAACCTCTGTCTTTGTACACGGGTCCGCTACTGCTGGTGCCGCGGCCAGGCTTGCTGTCGCTCGCGTGGTAACTACTCTCCATCCGCTCCCTGTTGTCGGTCGCTCACCGGTACGAAAGTGAAGACAATGTTTGGAGGGAGGGAGGAGGAGAGGAGGGGACTAGAAAGTGGGATCCATTTGTGATTTGGTCGGGACCAAAAGAATGAAGCTGGACCCTCTTTTGTCACAAGCACGAAAGATCGAGAGAGAGAGAGGGGGTGAACGTCCGAGGGTACTGCCTGAATTGGGTCGTATTTTGGGGGAAATGGGTCGGATCATCCGCACGGAAAAAGACAAGTGTCTTGGTCTTTCTGTTTTATTTGGATGTGGTAATCGATGACTGTGGGTAAAGTGCTTTTTGGTATTCCTAGATCAGATGCAGAGTATGCACGTCCTCGTTTTCTACCTGCATCACTCTGTGTCTAGTAGAACCTAATGGTGAATGACCTGATGATGCAGATCCCCATGAAGAGAAGCAGAAGGCACTGCTCTTGCGCATCGCCGGCTCAGTCGCTCGATTGCACGAGGTTCTTAAAGAGATTAACACTCAAATTGAGGTTGGTCAACCTGCTTTTTTTTCTCGACGTCTTTTCGACCTACTCATGTTCTGCTTTTTATGCGCAAGTAGAAAAGCGATTCGTTCCGGGAAGACCTGACGTTCACGTGTCAAGTCTGGAAAGGATACGAAAGCCGCGTGCAGTCACACTGTGACACTGCGCTTACAGCAGCTCATGAGCAGCAAAGATAGGCGTATCATTCGTTGGATCTTTCTCCAAACAAACAGCTCAAGTTGTTCGAAGACCGGGTCAAGCGAAGGCGGGGGATGCCAATGGTTTTAATACCTCAGCTCTTTACAAGTAGCTCCTGGTCGATCCATTGGTCAGCAGCAGTGGGGTAACAGACAATACGTTTGTGATTGTAATCGAGCTTGGTGTGCTGTAGGGAAGTCCGTTTGATCTGGACTTGGCTTCGTGTTGGTCAGTAGAAACGATCCAATAGGTTCTTTCTGCACGCGTGACGTCTTCCCCTTACTCAGTACCAAGAACAGCGGCACGTCTGATCCCGACAGGTGATCTACAGCGTGGATGGAACGTAGATGCAGCATCTATATTGTGCAGAGCGAATCGGATCCAGGTGCGTGGTCAGCCCAGCATGTCCTACGATGGATTCCCAGCAACGTTTGTCTAGTTTGCCTCGGTCTTCAAAGGACGTGCAGCTAGCTGAGCGGACAGACAGTATGACGTGCTTGAAATTGGGGGACTTGCTGTCGTTGTTGTCCATCTCCATGTCGAATATAGTCACATCCGTCAAGACGGTTTTGCCGCTACTGCCGAGTATTCGGCAGATCACGAAATGGCTTGAGGCTACGAATAGGAACACTGGTGCAACTCGCATCCAAAGGGGAAGAGACTTCTGTTGGTTGTATCGGGGTTGATTGACGCCAGCATGAACGGTTTATCTAAGACTCTGGATGTCGACGTATCTATTCGACATGTATCTAGCATCGGCACAGAATTATGAGCTCTAGCAAGTTTACACCGGTGTTTCGATGTATACCAGCTAGAAGGAAATAGGATACTTGAACACGAATTACAACACTAGAGTGCAGCAGCATTCAGTACCATCCCGTGAGCCTTCGGCAGCAGTCGTCAATCATCATCGAGCCAACCAAGAACCCGGTTCAACTTACAGCTTTTAGTCATCTTGGTTCGGTGTCACTATCATAGAACGTCCATAATACATCGGGAGGAGCTCGAAACTTTCATGTTGATGGTCTTCCAATACTGAAGTACACGCAAGCATTTCTCCACGCAGTGCATGAGGAAGATGACAGTCAGACTGGCAAGCTCAGACTTTACCATTTAGCCATTCCTGCCAGTGTCTGAACAATAATCACATACCCCACACAATTCTGCCCCTCTCATTCGGTCGACTTCCAGTGCTTTCGGATATCGCATTTGTCGATAATTCCCTCGCTCGCAGATGAAGTTGAGAGTGCAGATGAAGTTGAGAGTGCAGACGAAGGGCGTCGCTTCGACAGCAAAACTCTCGCCTCCAGAACGGCTCCTCGATTTGAAGCTGATGCCAGGCGCAGCTATAACATCAGCGTGTGGTTCAGGTCGATATGTCCTGCACGACAAGTAGCTGGTACTTCAAATCGGCATAATTGACTACACCCCAGTGCTTGTTCGTGTTAGTCGGGGTGCTAACTCTGATAACATCATGATGATGTTGTCGCGCACGTTACCCCCCGCCGTGCTACCGCACCGACAACGCTAGATACTATCCAGCACCCGCCACTGTAGCTCCAACGCTGCTACTTATTGTTGTCTTATCTGCGACATCGATGCAGTTGGTGACGTCGCATTGTACTGAAGAAGCATCCGAGACATCCACCTCACACCTTTCTTAGCTCCATTGCTGTGGACTAAGGCCGACTCTATCCGTCCTTTAGCGCAGGCTGAACGTCGGTTGCAGCGTTCGCCTAACACTCCACTCCTCTCCACCGGCTTCGTGCAGTCGCAGCTGTCGTCTGCACCATGCATGTGACAGCATAGCCCGTTGCCGTTGTGGTCTGCACACATCTTTCCATCTCGTCGCGTACTTCATCACCGTAAGCATTTTTGTGCGGCTCGCAAGGACAGCCACAGCATTTTCACCACCTTGTGCGTTGCAATGAGCTCGACGCTTACACAAGTGCTTCCAGGTACTTCACGCGCGCTACTGGTATGACCGGTCGTGTTCAAAAGTCGTCTGACACCGACACCAGTGTCGCTCTGCATCCCGATCGGCTCCGCGACTGTGCTGACGGTCCTAACTCCCCGCCCCAGTCTCAAATCCACTTGTGTCATCAGGAAACAGACCTTACGTTACTCAGTTTATGCAAGTGCAGGTTAAATCTTCTGCCGGTACCGATCACTGCAGGTGCGCCCTCTGAAATTCCAGCTGAGCACGAGGTTCGAGATCGACTTCGGCAACTGTCGGTTTTCGGCTGACGCTCGCGCAATCGCGGACAACTGCATCGGTCAACTCCTTGCACTAAATATTACAAGCTTCGACAATACGCTTCGACAACGGTGATGATCCGGACATCACGGTAGGTCCCTCCCAACAATTTTTCCAGAAGTGTCTTGTAGCTACGCTGCCGCCGCCTTGTTCCTCATACCCCCATTCACACTGTGCTTCAGCTGCTTTTGCCGACTTCACAAGTTGCGTTTAATGACAATACGGCAATGTGCGGTCGTGAATGGAGCCTGAAATTGCTGCTGGTATTATCCGCAATCTGTCGTAACCTGATAGTCGAGCCCTTCTACACAACAAATCATATCTCCCAGGCACAGTGAGGGCTCGATACCAGCTAAAAGTCCAAGCTGTTGCAACGGCTTTATCTCTGTAGCGATGCATATCGAGCTTCTCGCAATGAGCCTCGCAGTCAATGCACTACACGCCACATCGTCTATTGCGCTGAGTATCTCCTACACTTGAATCTGTTAAAGCAACGAGGACGGGTGTCGTCAAGAACCTGCGCTGGCACTTGCCGTTACTCATAAGACTTCCGTGTAACCTTCGCGACCACCTTCCAAGTGCCGTCACTTTCTTGCAGTTGCTCGACGCATTATGTTGTTGTTTCTGCAGCTTGAGCAGCGACGCACAAGCCAAACGCCGCGGCCGCCACACTGCACATGCTTTGACGATCCAAGGAGGCGACCTCGGACACAAGGCTGCTTCGCAGAGTACAGCTTTCGCCTGAGTTTCCAGCTTTACTCGTAATACACGATCCAACAACACCTTCATTGCTGCCACGTTGGCAACCAACGCCGGAACCAGTCCTGTGGCATATCCATGCGTATAAAGTAGCGTCGCAACCGCGGAGAGACGGAATGATGCCTCGCAACAGCTAGCAGTCACTCGTTCACATTTACGCGTAGAAATAACCACCTCTGCAATGACCCCATCGCCGCCCGACGCTGGCATCGGCGTATGGTTTTGCTCCAGGAGACGAAGAACCTATTTAAGCTTCCTGGAGAAGCGGATGCTGCTACACAGTGGCTGCAGTTGATGAACTGTCAGCCAAACCTTCACAATGAATTACGTGAACATGGTAAAGTATAGCCGCCTGGAGCTTACAAGGAGTCCGATCGACAACACTCGGGCACATTGACGTCACATCGACGCATTTTCGACGCTCAAGTAGCATGGACTCCATAACCGTGGGATCGGGAAGACAAACGAAGTAGCAGGAGCCCGTTGGAAGCTCCAGGGACGTGTGAAAAGCGACAGCACAGGAGTCAAGAGAGTACCGAGCGGTTCTTTTGAACCAGCTGTAGCGCTGGAAAGAGAAAGAGCGGCGGGGTTTTCAGTGGTAAAGATGGAGAGGAGGATGAGCGCGGGCGTGGCCATCACGATGACGCCGTCCAGGTCCTTCCTTGCTTATGGCTGTGAACTCGAAGCACAGACGCAATTGTCCTTGTTTTCGAATGATGACCTCAGAATAGTGACTCCAGTAAACTCGAAAGGCTGAGATGGTGTACGGTCGAAACGCTACCTCCCTCTCAAAAGCCTGCATACAACGTCTGCAAACAGAGCTTAGCTAACATGGGCCGTAAATGTATTCATCGAGTTCATAGGTCTAGTCTACTAAACTGCGACCTTTATCATAGCGGCCGCCGTTGATCAACTTCAGGGTCACCGACTCCACCTTCTTTTTGCTCCGGGCTCCTGTACGTGTCAACACAGAAATCCAATCGGACCAATGTTGGGAAATGACTTACACAGCATTGGATGACGTCGTCTGATCCATCCCGGCTTGCATCACCGATGAGCTCACGTCCATCTTCTTTTGCCTCGGTGTTTCCGCTTCCGTCTCAGCTTCTGTCTCGTCCTCGGGTACAGCCGCTTGACGAGGTCTTCCAGGTCTGGTTCTTTGATGGCGTCAAGAAAGCGCGTGATCTCCTTGTTTGTCATACCCTCGAACAACATTTTCCTCGCTTCTTTAATGTGAATAGCGTGTATCGAGTTTTCTCTTTCCAGCAGCTGGATGTAGTATAGCCACTGGACTACAGAATACTGCCGATTTTTGAGTGATTCCCCCCAATCGATCCCCAGCATATTCGCGACTTTAAGGGGAACTATTTTTTCCGCCCTCCACTTCTTGGCCATCCAACCGGAAGCCACAATATCCGGCGCGGATGAGATCTCCTCGGCTAGTTTGTTGTACGCCAACGCGATCTCTCGTTTGAACACGTTCACCTCATCGGCATTACGAAGCGCTGTCAGTCGATCAAACTCTCTCTGTGGGTCAGCTTCTCTAGCGATGTCGGCAAAGCGGACTTCTCCAGTAGCCTGCCTAGGGCGTTGATCCCTGGCCTCCTGCACGGCCAAACGATCACCGTGTGCCCATGGCCTACCATTTAACAGGCCATCAACGTTATGATGAAGCCGTTCCAGTTTGCTCAGAATAAACGACAGTGGCAACACCCGCTCCTCGTTTTTCCGTCTTGTCTGGTCAGGGAAGGACACCGTCGAGCCTTCCGACTCCAGGATTCGATGGGCACCGGACGTGGTGTCGTCCAGGCGTGAAACAGTCACCGGGTCGTGCGCAGCAACATCCACTTGGTCTTTGTCATTCACTGCTTCGGCACTTTCGCAGAGAAGGGTGCTCGAGGCCGCGAGCACCATGCAGAACTTGTGCATGGTACAGGTGTGCTGGCTCGCTGCTGGTACGCTGGCTCGCTGCTGGTACGCTGGCTCGCTGCTGGTCAATCGCCAAGTGACGAAGGTTTTCACGATTTCGGTGGACAGTACGCGCAAACTGATCCTTGGTTCTATCCCAATAGTTTTGTCGCATATGCAACGGGGTTACGCGGCGATTATTGAACTGGTTATATTGTGTGTCCACACCAAGTAGAGACTGGTAGATCTGAGTGGTACAGTCTTGGTACAATGAACTTTCGGTAATACCGCACTTTATCGGTTAGATAAGGGATGAGACTTCTGTCATAAGATCGCAAGGTAGAAGTCAGCCAGACAAGGTTTTATAGTTTTATCGCCGTAGTTCAAGAACAAATAAAGTTCAGTTCACCCTTTGAATCATTGGACACAAGTGCCTAGTCAAGGCATAGTGTGCTGTAAGAGCATTAGTCTTGTCAAGGTGTTTACTCTTGCTTAACTAGTAGTGACTAGTTAGTGTCTGATTCTGCGAATCATAATCTCTCTGGAACCGGGATTGTTGATCTTGTGCGCTTGGACGACTGTACGTCGTTGCTAGTTTGTTATAACTAAGAGACTCTTTGGGTATAAGACTTCCTCTGTTAAAAAGCTTCAAGCAGCTCTGCTACAATCGAACACTTTGTTCTACATATAAATTGTGACGACAAGATTTGCATACGCATGCGCTGAGGGTGGCAGCGTTGAAAATGATGGTGGAGAAATGTAATTATTTGCAAAGTAGTCAACGCTTACCTGCTACAAAACAGTTTAGAAGATGAATGCCCTATCCACTCGATCCTTTATCGGTGCTGTTGATGGCCTACTTATGCAAGCTGGGTTCATGATAAATGTGGTGGTAACGGAATTGAGATGATTTAACACACATATCAACATCAATCTAGTAGAGTTTATTGAGCAGCGATGTCTTGAAGCATGATCTTGGCCAAATGTTTTTAATCTATTGATATTACTTAAAAGAGATTTTGACGTTTTGTAGAATAGCACAACCTCTTGACGAAGCTTTTTAGTCATCAAGTTATTATAAAAAATTACCTTTACCATAGACTGAATTCGCGAGTCATCCGTAGGCTAAGGATGTCCATCGGATCGTCACAGGAGCAACTGAATCATCTATACAAGCGTCTATTTTGACTGTATGCATGCCTTAGCAGAAAGGTTGAATAATGACAATGAATGCTAAAGTTGGCGATTACTATATACAAAATAGATGACGCTTTCATTTTAGGAATTGTTATTTCCACCACACTGCTTCACTGTTTCCACCGCATCCTTAATTGTGCTTGAATAATTACAGGCGTACCATACCCCACCACGCTATCACATCACTCTCACTCCTCCCTGAACGACGATCTCCGATCAGCGCACCCTAAAATTGCTAATAAAATACGCCCGTGTCAAGTTAACACTTAAGGGTGAGTCTACAGAGAATTGCCCCGTTCGACCCTTCTACCCCCCTCCACAACTTACTTCATACATGGAATGACTGATCTAAACTCCAATCAGATCTTTAAACGAGCTTTTACCGGCATCTTGTATAGAACACAGACCGTCTCCGCGGGTCGATGCCGCCTTCATTGCAGTTTGTGTGGCAAACTCAACTATGACAAAAAATCATGACCGCATAATATAAATGGTAATGATACGATGTTCCTAGTTATGTAGATTGGTGTATAGAGAAGGGATAGCAAGCATGACCAAGCCGCCGAGAATCACGAGCCTCTGCTCTGAGGAAAGTTGCACAAGCCAGATGTTCACTGGTGCTCATGAACCGTACCGGCAGCGATCTGGCATTCTTACGGTTGAAAGAAGCTGCACACTTAAGGCAATCTTATGTACACCTTTTGTGATAAAAAAGGTCCATATTATGAAATGAGCAGTGGATAGCGATACTGTCATGCGCAAATGATACTGATACGGACAACAACTTCTGGAATGTGAGTGGCCAGCTACTATTGACGTTGAACACGAACGAGCTTACAATGACCACAATGTATGAGCCCATAATTTGTTTCAATTTTACGGCTAGAAACTTCTCTGAATATTCGTTAACAGGAGCTGTGGTAGCGTGGTGTTGTGTGGTGTGGCGCGTCTGTAATTATTCAAGCCGAAGTTTTGGTGTGGTGGAAATAGTAAAAAGTGTGGTGGAAATGAAGATTGACTATGTCTTAAACGCTCCCGTATTTTCTCATGTAATTTTTATGACCGTAGATATCAATGTCCGGTATGCACCCCGCATTCTCTGATTATCTTACCGTTGTGTGGTGAAAATTAAAGAATGTGGGATGTATACCGGGGAATCGGTCGCCAACCAACTTGCGCCCAGATGTCGCCAGTTCCCCTTTAGGTTTCACGAAACCTCCTAACGTCAACTCTCAATTAGGCTTTGCGCAATTGTATCAACCAGCCGACGTATCGCGTCCTCTCCACGAAAGCTAATACTGTGACGAGGCACTGGAGAAACACATTGGATGACGAGTGTGAAGCTACTATCCCTGACAGCAGCGTGAGAGGTGCTTCGCTACCTCCGTAACTCGGCAGAGGAAAGGAAAAAAACTAGGAAATGACTAGTTGCTGGTGAAAGTAAAACTGTCTCAAATGGAATGGAGTCCTCATCACTAATCTATGTTTTAGTCCTAACTTAATCCTTCATATCTACAACAATGTACGCTAAAGTCTTGTTCACCACTCGTTGCGCGCTTCCATCGTTGAACGCCCAATCTTGCTGATATGATGAACCATATCAGCCAATCGATGAGTGTTTATTAACATCACCCCTAACGGTAACATGCACGAATTATGATAATATGAAATTATAAAGTGCCAAGGGTTAATTGCATGTAACTGGCTCACCCCGTTACATCACTCCCCCCTAAACGATAGTCACTCAATTACTATGATGTTGATGTGGTCACCGTTAATATACATCAGAGAAAGTAATCACTTGTTGGTCAGGTCCACTCATTTTTGAGATCACCAAGCACTGTGAGAAAACCCATGTGATGTGCGCCGAAAGATGCTGAGAAGGAAGCTACGCGCTTTAACGCAGCTGCTCTTGACGATGACCAGCCTCTTGCGGCAGACTATACTTCGTCTGCTGCATCTGCAAATCTTCTTGAGCCTACGAATAGTACTAAGGCGGGTAGTCAGACACATGGTCACTACTAGAGTCTGTTCAGTTTGTAGGATGAGCACGCTAACTCCTCATCCTCGTCTGTTACGGCGCATTCGCCTTCTAAAGAATGCGGTGATGGCTTGCACCATCGTGATGACGATTCTAGTGGTACCAAGATATCTGTTGGTAACACACAGAAGGCTCTAAACGAAAATGTGATGCGTCTTGTCCCTGAACAGAAACCTTGAGCATTACCAGAAAGGACTATAAATGGCCTGACAGGCGAGACACGTCTTCATCATCAAATTCTATTACGCGATGCGAGGTTGTTTTACGGTCTCGACACCAGCGCTTTAAACTTTGGCTCTGAAGAAGAATTTTCTCTGGATACTTATAAATAGCATCATTGGTATAGCGGCAACACTGAACGAGACAAAAGCTCGTTGCTGCAGGCGTGGAACACCTTTATAATCAATGTGCATTGAACTGGGTGCGAAGCTTGGCTTTAGAAACTTAACACAGCTTGTGTTAGATTTAAAAAATGAACATTGACTAATTTAAAAGCCAGGTTGCCCTTTCTGTCTCGTGAGACAGGAATTCCACGCTTTGCGTGAGGGGATCCATGCCCGCGTTTTTTTACAGCAATCAACCCATTCAACGAGATGTGTACTCCCTTTCTTCTCCCAAGTGCAGGGCGCAAATCTCTACTGAGATGCGCGATTCAAATGCTAATCTAAAATCGTTCTACCACTGCCATGGGCGCGTATTTCCGAAGTCCTTTCTGGTCCATCGGATGTTTCTTGTTGCGATGGTAGACGAGACCCTCAGCATCAATCATCAGCTGGGCGCGAGGCTCCGTGCTGTCGCGCTACGGCGGAGAGCCGCGCCAGCGAACAAGATGTCTCTCTCGCTGCCCATTCACGTTGCGGTTGCTTAAGGTACGCTTCATGTGATAGCGTTGACCACCGTGCGAGTCCACCAATGGCTGTGGTTGGGGTGGGAAATTCAACTCCAAATATTTTGTTGGAACTGCAGGCGGAGATTGGTCGTCTACAACAAGAATTACACGATCTGTGTGATCACACCGGACAATAGAGACAGGAGCGTCTCTCATTGTAGGCGTGGGTACAACGCATTCACATTCTTCGATACAATGAATGATCGGAATTCGCTTTATACCAATTGTAAAAAAAGCGGAAGAGTCAAGCCTTTGCAACGAATCGAAGTTAGTGAACTTCGTCACCAGAATGCGGCACTACAGATCCATATTGAGAAACTAGCTCGGACCCGAAATAATGTTTTGGAGATTTTTTAACGTGGCGGGAATTTTCGCCCGAGAAAGAGACGTTGTGCTGATGGTTTTGGCCGATACGGCCGACATAAAACGTAGATGCGTATGCATACTGCGAGACAGCTTGATCTTGTAAGCATTGCCTTTTCGATGCAGTATACGAAACGTGACGATGTACTTGGGCAGCAGTTTATTACTACTTACCTTAGTTAATACGTGCTTCGGTAGATTTACTAAAGATAGTAAACGACGTCTCCAACATAAAATAGAAGAACACTTGCTCATCCATGTTTGTCAGCATTCTGGTTTTGTCGAGCCACCGCGTTTGTGGTGGAGGCTTTCCCAAATCGGATCACCGGACCTTGTGCCAGATGGAAATCTTTTTCTAAATATGTTGTGTTTGTTGCAGTGCGCTTTGTGCACACCCTTAAAAGGTCTTCTTCGTTTTCATCGAGGGTGCTTTCATCCTTGCTGATGTAGCTGTTGGCGATGCTAAATATAACACATCTTCATTCTCATTAGGTTAATCGATAGTGTCGTCACTATGGATGAATTCACCTT